TTGCCAAACTTTTTTTGAAATTTTGAAAGTATTCAAGCGTCTAACAATGGTAAGAAACCATTTTTATGTATTTTAGTAACGGTAAATAATTAATTAGGTACATTTTTATAGTTCTTTTATATGTTGTATAATACGCAGGTTATTGTCATTAATATTAATCACTCTTCCTCTATTTTGTATTCAGTTGTTTAAATCAAAGTAATATTCGAGTTAAAATTACTTTATTTATTTAAAAGAAAAGAATAGGTTAGAAGCGTTCGAAATGTGGTGTTATAGGCGGATGATGAGGATACCGTGGATAGAGAAGGTTAGAAATGAAGAGGTATTAGAAATAATAGGAGAACAGAGGACTCTATGGAAGTCAATCAAAAATAGGCGAGATAGGTTAGTAGGACAGCTTCTCAGGCATGAAGGTCTAATCAAAGAAATATTAGAGGCAGCAACGGGAGTTAGGAAGGGTAGAGGTAGACCTAGATTAGATTACTGTTCGCAAATAGTTAAGAATCTGGATTGTTCTAGTTTTAAGGAAATGCGAAGATTAGCTCAGGATAAGAAAGAGTGGAGGTGCGTGTCCAACCAGTCTTAGGACTAACGACCTTATGATGATGATTTATTTAAAGAATCAAAGTTGTTGTTTCGCCCAGGTTGTTGGGTTTTCTCAAGGCTAGTTTTATTTAGTTAAAAATGTAATGCCGATGGATTTAGTTAAGTGATACATGTTCTAAGATCAACAATCATCATCATAAGGTCGTCTATAACTGGTTGCACACGCACCTTCACTCTTATCCTGAGCTAATCTTCGCATTTCCTTAAAACTAGAAAACAAAAAACTTTTGGGTGTTTCATTTCCACCAGCCACTAATGCTGGTGGGCGGGCAGTCCCTCCGGACTACGCAGGAAGGTAGGGCGGAAGGCCCTCTTCAGCCTCCTCTCAGGAATCGTGGGAATGGGTGGGTGGTGGTTCGGGTGAGAAAGATGAGACGGACGAAATGAAGGCAGAAGAGAATGAAAGATTATCTGTGGAACATTACTGCCCCAGCATTTGCCTAAAGTGATCCAAGGAAACCACAGAAAAATTTGGACCAAGGCAGACGGATTCGGAATCGAACCGGCGTCCTCCCGAATGCTAAGCAATGGTCTAGACCTCTAGGCCATGCCGCTCGGTTTAAAACTAGAACAGCCCACATCCTTAACTATTTGCGAACAGTAATCTAACCTAAGTCTACCTCTACCCCTCCTAACTCCCGTTTCTGCCTCTAATATGTCTCTGATTAAACCTTCATGCCTGTAAAGGTGTCCTACCAACCTATTTCTTATTGATTTTCATGCATTAACAAAACTACTCAAAACTTGTGGTTTCTTAAATAAGTAAAGCAACTTTTAACACCAATATTGCCTTAATTTAAACAACTGTATTGTCATGAATAATTCTATTTATTTTTGGTTGTCCTATAAAAGAATCTTTTTCTCAATTCACTTTTATATCAGTTCATACTTTAATAAAGTCGAGTATGTACTCGAGACCAGTAAATGTATAAATGCGAAAACAGAGATGATAAGGTTGCTACGTACATTTTGATATTATTTCATACATAAAATAAAAAGCCGTAACATATGTTCTAATTTTATTGTTTGCCAATTAAACTCTTCACGTACATTACACCGTAGTGGTGTTTATTTACTTTTATTTCAAGAACTACCTACTTCATATGAATTCAACCACCATTCTCTAGTTATACAGTAGTGGAAACTATGACAATCAATCTGCACAGAAATGTGTAATTTTTACGTTCGGTGATATTTTTGCCTTACCTGTAGATGTGTCGATAAAGTATACAGGTAAGGCAAAATATTAACCGAACATAGAAATCACATGAAATCTGTTTTAAACTAACCGGACTCTCAGAATTTTTTGAAAAAGGCGTAGTACCCGTCAAAAACTTTAAATTGCATTTATTAGAGTTATTTTAGTTTATTATTTATATGAAAAGATAAATACCTAAATCATTATGAACTAAGTATCAACACCTAGTTCTTTATTTAATCTTTTATCGTATTTGGGCAATGGGTACCTTAATCTAAGATCACTGTCAATTTGATTTTTTTTAATGGACCTAGATTTCGTATGCTTAATTGATAGTTTAATTAAGAATGTATAATTTTACGCTAACTGTGTAAACGTAAATAAAAAATGATAACAAAGAGATTACAAGTCTTATTTCTCTTTTTGCTTTAGAAAATATTTCTTTGTAGCAAGAAAAATCATAAATGGATAACAGTTATTGTTTAGTATTCAACACGTATCTTGCTACCCTTAAAAAATGACTTTTGTCGTGTATGTATAATTTTACCTATATGAGCCCAAAAGTCATTCGGACAGGTTGGTCTTTGTTTTTTGCAAGGGCGTTTTTTATGATGTCCCTTCAGTAATATTTTAAAATAAACATTATACAGTATGTGCACAGTTATTTACGATATGTCCCACAAGAGATGTATAGAAAAGACAGCGTTATACAAGGCGGTATTAAAAAAAATTGAAGCCCGCTACCGCTACCTATACTTGGTAATAGAAAATTTGCGAATTTATTAAAAGAATATTCCATTTTTATAACGTTTAGAGATATATTTAGATAGATAGAGATAAGCTGTCGTTTAGGGTTTTACTTTTTTTTTTTAAGATACGGAATCTTAACACAAGTATTTCTGTTATAATAAGATTTATTATTTCTTTTGTAATACGTACTTCTCTTAGAATAATTTTAAGAGTTTTTATAATTGAATATCAGCCAGTAGAGTAAATATAGATGAAAATACGTCATTTCTTTTTTTTTTAATTAATATTAAAAATAAAGGACATCATGTTCTATTTTTGTACATATTAAAGGCGAATACCAAATAGTATTTCGATTAGTTTAATCTCTGATAACGATTTTAATCCAGTACTGGCCCATATGGTTTTATCATTAACCCTTATGGTGGTTACAACGTGATTATATTTTTGTGTTCGCAAAACATTCCTAAAGTGATAACTTTATCCATATTTCAATAAATAATAACATTTTTGTATTCATGAAGTTAATCAATCTTCTTTTATTATAATTAACTGGTTTTACTTTATTGAATAATATGTATAGCGTATTTTTACGAATAAAATTTTAATCCCAGTTCAATAATTTTAATATAAGTTAATTAATAGACAATATTAATTTAATAATTTGACTATTTAATTATTTTTATATTGCAATACTGAAAAATAACGCGTTAAAAAAATACTAGTATGTTTTTAATTCTTTTTTAACACTAAACTATCCAC